GTCCCTTTTGGGCTGCCTGACTTGCTCTGTTTGGACAGCACCTGGTAAATAAGGAAAGCTGGGCACAGCCTTGAGGTTGTGTCAATACACTCTGTACTTTACTGTAAGTCTTCTCTTCCCACAGGGCCTATGCACCCTGTGCTGCGCTGCTGGCGATGGTAATCGATTGAAGTGACCCAAGCTTTCCTGCTGCTGTGTTACGAAATGGCTGGATCAAGAAGCCAGCGCTTCCACCAGCTGGAAGCATGAGCTGCTAACGTGCAAATAACGTCAACAGAGAGATACAGATCAACGGCATCGTGACACGGCCTTTTCTATCTGACCACAGATGGTCAAGGGAGACATAAAATTCTCCCAAGAGGCTTCTTTCTGGCAAGCCATAAACCACCCAAGGGAGCTGTTTTGCTAAGAAATCAGTTGTGAAACACCTGGATACTCGATGCGACACCCCGGGTGCAGAGTTACCCTGAGATCCGGGACCCAAATCCCCAGGCCCCGGGCTTAGCGCAGCTCACTGCTTTCATCCCAATGTGCTGGAGTCAATCAACTCTTTTAAACACCCATTCTTTGGTGCTTTCTTTCCCCAAATGGGTTTTCTTAATCCCACCTAGTTCTTTCTGACCCACCAATACTAAAGAAAAATATAGCTTTGGAATGGCTTTTACCATAGAATTAACAACGCTAACGAGCTCACGAGTTCTTTCATCTGCATCATTGTGGAGGTTTAGAAATTATGATTTCCTTGGCATGAAGCTGTTTTCTATTAGCAAAAACCTACATATTAGGTTATATAATGTGGCCTGTTTAACTAGCATGGAGAACAATACCTTAATACGATATGTTGTCCTAAACTCAATTGCAGGCTGCTATTTCCTGGTAATTCAAATCTGTACTGGTAGGTGTCCTCTGTTAGCTGCTCCACTGAGCTCAAGCTGAATGCAGTAAATGAATCTGGATTTAGTTCTGAATTATTGCTCTGCAAGAACAACAATAAATAATTACTCGGTTAGACGATGTATTTTATTATTTCATTTTTCTTTTGAAGCAAATGTGTGTGCTAATTTGGTGCTAGAGATACTCAGCGCTCCAGAAGAACGTGCATTAAATGCCAGGGCCCAGCACAAATTTCAGCTCTCTGCAGATTCATTATTAGGTCCTTTGGTACATGATTTGGGAGCTCTGACTTCTTTTCCCCTTTTGTTAAATTACATTTTTACACCTTACAGCCTGGTCAGCCTATTATGGCTCATTACAATCATTTTCTCATGCCTGGAAACAAACAAAAGTAATACGGCTCACAGAGCTGAGCGCTGCTTTGGGGGCAACTTCCAAACCTACTGATGGCCATTTTAGATAGGAAACATCATTAGCTGTTTCACCACTAATCATTTTTTCTTTATCCGATATTGTTAATCTTATGCAGAAAGGCACTGACAATCCCAAAATTGCACTGCAAAGACGATGCTCCACTGCATGAAATAATAACTCTTTTCATCCTCAAAATAAGAATCTTAAAAAAAAAGGGGGGGGGGACAGGGAGAATAAATGGAAAATCTCAGGAAAAAAAAATGAAATTCTCTAAGGATATTGGCAGCAGAGAAAATTGTGACTGTCCTTGTGACCTATTCCCAGTTTTCCCTGAGGTTGGCTCTGTCTGACTGGGGGATGTGCCCGGGGAATGGGGTCTGGCAGGAGCAGCTGCAGCTCCAGGGATACCTGGGGGCACCAGGAGACCTCGGCATGTGGAAAACCCCCTTATGGCAAGGAGGGAGCGCACACAGGAGAGGGTCCCCCAGAGCACTGGCATTGTGGGGACCAAGAGGAACCAACCTGCGCCTCGTGGGCCACCAGCAGCTCCATGTTGCCCGCGGCCCTGGCCCGCTGCCATCGCGCCAGGGCGGCCGCGTAGGTGTCGAAGATGTCAAGCACCAGTTACCAAAGAATAATTTTGCAGAATCCCAGAATGGTTGAGGTTGGACGGGACCCCTAGAGATCATCCAGCCCAGCCCCCTGCTCCAGCAGGGACACCCAGAGCACAGGGTGGCATCCAGGGGCAGTCTGTGCCAGGGCTGTGTCACCCTCACAGGAAAGAAGTTCTTCCTCACATGGAGATGAAACTGCCTGTGTTTCAGTTTGTACCCATTACCCCTTCTCCTGCCACCAGCCACCACTGAGAAGAGCCTGGCCCCGTCCTCCCTACATTCTCCCCTCAGGTACTCGTAAGGACTGATCGGATCCCCTCTTAGTCTCTTCTCCAGGCTAAACAGGCCCCGCTCGCTTAGTCTTCCCTCATACCATAGATGCTCCCACCCCTTAAGCACCTTTTATCACTCTACACTGGGCCCAAGCATCCGGGCCTCCCAGTGCGGGAATGTTGTACTGGCCCGGGAATATTGTGTTGGTGCGGGAATATTGTACAGGTCTGGGAATATTGTACCAGTGTGGGAATATCGTACCAATGCAGGGACACTGTACTGGCCATTAGAGCCAAGTGAGGCGAGAAATCAGAGAAATCAGCACAAAACGGGTAATCTGGCAGGCCATGAACATTCTGCCTTATCGTTGGGTTCAAGGCTGGGTTTAGTGCTCAAACAAGTGGGAAAGGGCAAAAAACACTTTTTTTTTTTTTTTTTTTTCTTTTGTGTGTGCCTGTGCTCTTATTTCCCCTGGGAGGTTTGGCACAAATGGAACCCGGTTTCACACAGGCTGGGGGCCACACTTGTCCCTGAGGCACACCACGGCTTTCGGGGCCGTTTTCTGTTCCGGAGAGCAGTTTAACAGACATTTTGGGGAGATTTGAGCAAAGCCAAGGTCAGAGCCAAGCCAAGAGCTCGGGAATCACCGCCTTTTTTACAGGGACTGGGATTCGCCCGCGTTTTTTCACGCGTTTTTCCCTCGCCCCTAAGGACCCGGGACCGGAGCGGGGCGGGGGGCTGGAGGACACGGGGACCCCCCGCCCGGG